GTTATGTAGCCAAATTAAAATTCATTTCTAGATTGCCAAGGTCATCCTTTGTCTTGATACCTCTGCACCTGACCGGAACTGGATGGGTGGAACTGCCAGCATGCCAGTGGAAGATTGGATCATGTGATGGACTTGTGGGTGTGGGAGCAAGATCATGAACTTTAACTTGGGTGGGAAAAACTGAGAAGCTTCAGATTCAGGTTTTCCCAGATGTACCAGCATGGCTCTCTTAATAAATCAGAACTTTGAGCAGTACTTTGCCTTGAACTCTGATTTAATTTTGGATGTTATCTGTAATGGTGACACCTGATTGCAGCCGGAGTGCAGCCTAACCTCAGATATCAAAGCTGCTGGAGGAGGGGCCAGTGTCTCAATGGTACGCACACGAACTTTGGGGCTCCGGAGGAGCGGCTATATCCTACCACTCTGGGGGTCTTGTCTGAGCCTGGAACTGTCTTGGATGGACAGTGAGAAATGAGAGCACGGACAGATGTGAAGGAGGGTGCTGCAAACTCCCTGGAACATCTGCAATAGCCCACAACCCAGGTGGCAAAGAAGACAGCCATTGCGAGCTGTCAAGAGTTGAGGTGGCTTCACAAAAAGAGAGAAGAAAGTGGCTTGGAACATCTGGGTGAGATTGTGATAATACCCTGGGGTACACTGTATTCAAAAGGTTTTTTTTCTCCCTGATTGACTGACTGAGAACAAAGAGAGAAGGCAAAAGAGCGGGGGAGTGGATTACCCCTCCAGGAAGCAGCAGTGGAGAAGCGAGCGCCAATATAAATAAAGGATTCATCAAATAGTTTTGGGAGGATAGTTTGGAGAAATAGAGAGCAGTCTGGATAGAGTTGATTGCCAGTGAAATTTTTAAATTTTGATATTGACATTGAAGAAATTGAACTCTGAGATTGCTCTTGGAATTTTTTTTTCTTTCCTAACTACTCTTACTCAGTAACAACAGTGTCATCTAGTGACAACAGAGAGAATATGTTTTAAAAAATGGCCCTGGACAAATGCATAGTGATTTGATAAACAGAGTTGTGATAAAAACTGCCACATAAGACAAAACACCAGCTGCGGACTCATCTTTGGTGCTTTTGTTTTCCACTTTCCTGATTATATCTTTGGAGCTCTGGAATTCTTTTGGAACTGTTTGGAACTGCGGCGCTTTTGCTTATATTAAAAATTGAAGTTATTTTCTTTAAGTGGCTCTGTATCTGGTTGCTTTTTTTAAATCAACTTCTTTCTTGATTTTTCCTTGTAATTTTCCACTTAGTGGGTACTTATCAGATTTTTCCTTTTTATTTTTATTTTCTATCTCTCCTTTTTCTTTCCTCCTTTTCTCTCCTACTGTTAGAGTTGGAGGGAATAAGAGGGATTAAAGATATCTTTTTATTTTACAATTGTGGTCATTTTTTTTTACTATTTTTTCTCTCTCTGCTCTCTTGGTTGCAATTTGGGTTTTTTTGTTTTTGTTTTTGCTTTTGTCTTTCTACCTTCCACTGCAATTGGATTAAGGTAACAAGAACCTGAAGCTTGGAGGAAATAAGGGGGGCTAAAGACATATTTTTATTTTACAATCGTGGTCAATTTTTTTACTATTTTTTGTTGTTGTCCTTTTTGTTGGAATTTGGTCTTTTTTTTCCCCTTCTTTTTTTCCTTTTACTTTACTACTACAATTGGATTAAAGTAACAAGAACCTGAAGCTTGGCCCACCAGACTTGGAGAGGCGACCTTCAAAATTTGGGTTTTTTTTTCTTCTTTTCTCTTTTTGATATTTGGATTATAAAAATAAATCAACAAGTTGAAGAAGGTAACAGCATATTCCTCATCGACAGCAACAACCTCCAGCCCTACAGCACAAAAATAATCAAATACAACAACACAACAAGATAAAGCTAGTATGTAGTTAAAGAGTATGTTACAGGCTATGCATGAAGACCTCAAAGAAAGAATGGGCAAAGTGGATGAAGACCTGAAAGATAATGGGAAAAAATTAACAGAGACTGCAGAAAGTGGAAGAAAAGGTGGAAATAACAGAGAAGAAAATGGAGGAGATGGATTATAGACTGAGAACAACAGATAAAAAGCAAGAAAAAATAAATATTTTGTGGGAAATGGACAAGGCTGATTTCTATTTAAGATTCCAAAATATCAAAGAGGAAAAGGAAGATAATCTAGCAGAAAAAATCACCGACATATTGGCGGATGGACTGGAAGAACCCAAAGAAAAAATGCTAAGCGGGATTGATGAAACTTACAGGGTCCATACAAGATATGCTATGAGAAATGAATTACCCAGAGAGGTACACGTAAGATTTACTAAGAAAACACTGAGAACAGAGATCCTGCAAGCTGCAAGGAAAACCACGATAAAATANCCTTACACTATGTCACGGCACACTAGTGTGCCACGGCACAGTGGTTGAAAAACACTGCCCTAATGAGGTAATCTGAGATCCCACTAGCTGAAAGTATGCGTGGAATGCGCTCCCCCCTACTATGTCAACTTTAGGGGTTGACATTCAGCTCCTCTCACTTCCCAAAAGCAACCTGTGCGAAACAAAAACAATTTGAGTTTTTCAGGTTTCCATTAAATGCCTTAATTGATTCAGGAGCCTTGAGTCAAATTTCAAAAGAGAAACCAGTCATTTATTAGGAGCATTTTGGCAATGCCTGTTTTGTGCAGTCAGATCTTAGCTTATTTGAAATATAGCTGAACTTTACATCTGTTCCATCCCTCCACTCAGTCTGAGTCAAATCAAATTCCCCAATGAGGTGCGTCCCTCCCAAGTCTGCTGCAGTAATCTGAGTTCTGACTAGCAGAAAGTATATGCTTTCCTACTGTATCAACTTTAAGAGTTGACAACAAATACAATTGCTTAATTGCCTTCACCATTTGTCTTCATTAGATAAATCTGGAATTCCGGAAGAAAAATTTCCTGCTTCCTACCTTATCCACAGTGCATTCACCGATCATTAGGAAGATTAATTGTGGGCTGCAGAGAATTATGCAACTTATATTGAAGGAAGGCAAGGACATAAATATAATCACATAAATGAAACACAGATGAACAGTCCTGCAAAGGGTAGCTAATGGCAAAACTTCTTCTTGTATAGGAAATCCAGGCAAGTTTCAGCAGTTTATGTACACTTGCAACATCAAAAAATAAATTTCTATGAAGTGAGGAGAGGAACCTACGTATTCATCACACTTCTTCTTTTCCAAATGACTGTTAGTTAGGCTTCTTCTGCTCTCACGGTCTGCGATGAACTTGCTGAAAAGACACAAGAAAGCAGGATTTTTTAAAATATCATGAGGCATAGCATGATGCACTTTATCACCTGTTATTCCTGTGAAATTTCAATGTGGATTTTGATTTTTTTTTCATTAAACCACATTGTACACTAACATTTGAGAAGCCAGGGCATAGGTAAACAAATATTATAGATGAAGCATATAATAAGAGGCACACAAAGACCTGAAAAGACATTCATGTATGGTTCTGTTCTCTGATACACTGCTTAGAAATAATCCCCTGACATGGCTAGTTTGCAACAGGAGTAGTTTTCATAGTCCTTTTTTTCTTTAGTGTGACTTGGAAATGCAAATCGTGAAATAGAACACAAGTCTAGAATGTCAGAGGAGTATGGATTTGCCAGTGTTGGGCTATGGACTACAGATTCAGCATTGCTCCAGTTTCACAAAATCCCAGAAATGACTATGTTAATGCAGAGAATCCAATGCATTTTAATAATAATTAAACTAAAGTAAATAAATTTTAAAAAATAGAAGTGAAAAAAGTTACACTTTTTAAAAAATAGAAAAAATAATCAATATATAAAGAAATGACTTCTCCCTTCATAACAATAATTAGGAACAATTTCAGTAACTCATTACCTTTTCTTATAATACAACAAATGTTTCCTTCTTATAAAATCTCATCTCTTATCCATATAGAAATCCATAAAACCTTCTCATTTCAGTCTTAATATTAGCAAAAATCCATTAAGGTTTACCAGCAATAGCAATATATCTAATAAATCAACTTTGTGTGCTTTTCTTTTGCCGTTAACAATCTTGTTCTTCTTATATTTCTTCCCTTTACTTTTCACAATCTTGATGCTTAATACTCTCAAATAAAGTCTTAGAGATTGATTTCTTCTCACTTGTTTTGTTATTTCTGACAGAACTCTTCAAAATGTTAAACAAGTCTCTTTTCTGAATCCAATGTAATGTAAGAAAGTAATCCAGGTCACTTGTTAAGACATCAGCTGGTTTTATTTCTATATCCACTGTAATGTCCCCTTCACATTTTTCCTGTAGCCTGACATTTTTAAATCCATTTTCAAATCAGATTCAGGCCTACGAGGTAAAAATTGCTCCTCTTCCATATCATCTTCCAAATACAGTGTATTTATAATGCCAAACACTCTTAAAGTTAACTTCTGATCTATTATTCATAAATACAATTCAATATGCCCATTGTATTTTGTTCCATTCTTTATTAGTAAATCAAATTTAAGTTTTCTCCTTTAATTGTAATCTGTATTGTATCTGTAATTATTATACATACATATTACATATATAGATACATACTGTCAATTTGACTAGAGCAATACATTCTACATGGGAAGAGGAAATATCAGAGGGCTCTGATGGTGGAAAATAAGGCAACTAGGCTGCTAACCAGTTCAGCACATCTGAAGCACCTTAAGATCTCCATAAACATACATTTGTTATGACTGTTTTCTAAGCAGAAAACACAATACTTCAGACCCATAAATGGCAGGGGGCCTGACTATCAGAAAGACTCCAATTTCAACATAATCCTATACAGTGGGTGAGACCAAGGCTTCTATTTGTTCTATACAAGCTTTGGAGAATGGTCTGTTTTGCTTGTCCTCAATTCCCACATCCTGTCCATCCCAGCTTTTAGGAAAGCAATCAAAATATTCTTTTTTTTAACCTGGCATTTTAGTTTAATCAGTTATTTAATTTACATATAATTAGTTAAATAATTTAATTGTTTTAATTATATTTTAGAGAATGAGGTGGCTGGATGGAGTCACTGAAGCAGTCAGTGTGAGCTTAAATGGACTCCGGAGGATGCTAGAGGACAGGAAGACCTGGAGGAACATTGTCCATGAGGTCGCAATAGGTCGGACACAACTTTGCAACTAACAACAAAATATTTTATCTATGTGTCTATGTTTTAGTTTTGTGTTTTAGTTGTCCCAAGTGCCCTTAGGACAAAAAAGAAATTGTTTAAAAGAACAAGAAATAAAGTTAACATGCAGATTCACAATTACTGCTCAGTTTCACAAAATAAAAATACCTGTAAAGAACAACAGATCAAGGGATACAATCCCAAACTCATGCTGCCTAAAATTGGTAGCAAATTGAATTAATGCATGTATTAATACCATGTTTCCCCAAAACTACAACATGTCCTGATAATAAGGCCATGCCATATTTTTCCTGTGGGCAAAAATATATGCCCTCCACCAATAATAAGCCCTCTGGACAACCCCCCCCCCTCCAGCCAGACAGAGCGCCACTCACCAACCTAGTGATATCCCGAAGGCGCCAAGCTGCAAGAGCCGGGGGCAAGGGTGGGCAAAGGCGCTCACATTGCTTGGCGCCTTCAGGATAGCCCTAGGTTGGTGAGTGAGTGGCGCTGTGCCCAGCTGGATCAGAGGGTTGCCGGGCGGCTGCTTTCATGAGCAGCCGCCCGGAAACCCCCCTTTCCAGCCAGGCAGAATGCCACTCACTGACTCAGTAATATCCCAAAGGTGCTAAGCGGCGTGGTGCTCTGCCCGGCTGGAAAGGGAGGTTGCGCAAGTGCCTGTTCTGCCCCCAGCTCGCATGCCTTCCAGCCTCACTATGCCCTGGCCCAGCTCTCCCTGCAGGGCCAGGGCGCCACTGGCACCATGCTGCTGCTGGCGTGCTCCGAGCATAACCGGCTTCCAAACTCTGGAGATCCACTGCAAAGTCTTCCGGCAGTGGCCGCTCTGGGACTACGCTCTATGGTTGTGGGCTGGCTGCTGGAAGACTCTCTGTCCACCATAACGCCTTTGGGATATTACTGGGTCAGTGAGTGGTGCTCTGCCTGGCTAGAAAGGGGGGGTTGCCAGGCGGCTGCTCGTGAACGTGGTCACCTCATGGCTGCTGTGTAGTGCTGCTCTGACAGCGCAACACAGCTGTTTGCTCCTGAGGCTGTGCCTGGCTCTTGGGGCGCCCACTCCCCAAAGAGTTGCCACCCGGCAACCCCAAACCAATAAGTCTCCCCGATAGTAAGGCCTAAGCAACAAGGGGGGGAGGGTCAAAAGAAAATAAGATCCTGTCTTATTTTCAGGGAAACACAGTACATTATTTTCCTTTCATCAAAAGCAAAGAATAGCATATATATATTAAGCCTTCAACTTGTTAAACACACCTGGTTTAATTTCTCAGTTCTTAATTGCTTGCTGCAAAAGGGCTGCCTGTTCTCATGATTTTATTTTATAAGATATCTTTCTTCTGGAGAAATTGATGAGTTTGAGATATGTGACTAGAACCTCAAGTTATCTCATCCATAACGGCTCTAATACCCATACACTACTGAAACTCTTGGGTCTGCTTATAACATTCATTGGGTGAAATGGTGCATCTGTAGGGAAACCATTTTTAAATTAAGAAGTCTCAAATAAGCTAAAATCTACATAATACATCCACATCCCAGAGCTGTGGGATTGAAATCTGAAAACGTTGGGGTCACTTCAGTGTTACCATGCCTTCTGACTGCACTCTCCAGAAACTATAGGTTGCACAATTCAAGATGAGGGAGGCATATCCCCACCCTTTTCCCCACCTCCTTTGAACCTGGCACCCAATGGCTGGTGGCAAAGCCCAACAGTAAGCAGCAATTGGCTAATTTGGAATTGTGGCTGAAATTTGAAATTTCTTAATATAAGAAAGCAGTGGGGGAAGGGTGAGGGATTGACTTGGATGCTTGCTGGCGAGGTAGTGTAGATGGGTGGCATCAATGATTGATGTGTGAACCCTTTCCTCTTTGAGGCCCTAGGAAACATGCTGGGATGGCAGAGTGAAGGTGAAGTTTTTCTTGCAGTCCATGGTTCACATCTCCCTGCAAAGTTGCAGGCAGTCCTGTGGGTCAATTGAGAAGGAGGAAGAGTGATTTCTGGTGCTCTCTGCCAAACAAAGTAAATAGGGAAACTGACTTTGGTATTCCTGTTCTGCCTGTGGTCATTCTATTTCTCTGTTTAGGTAAAGAAGAGTCTTGAAATGATGACCTAATGGCTCACACATTGCCTANTTATATTATATTATATTATATTATATTATATTATATTATATTATATTATATTATATTATATTATATTATGTTTATTGTGTTTATTATGTTTATTATGTTTATTATATTATATTTATTATATTATTTATTATATTTATTATGGGAATGAACTCCAGATTTACTCCCTCCCCCTTGTTTTGCATCTCCTCATTAGATGCTTCCTGCAGATCAGAGGTAGAAATACTAGGCAGTTCTGTCCTCTCTTCCTGCTGCTGCCTGGGTCAGTTCTTTCAGCTGCCATGAAGGAGCTGGCAAATCCTGCAGCCTAGAAGCAGATGGAGCTGGGGGCGCCACCCTGGCTGCATGCCAGCTAGTTCCAAAGAGGCCATACTGCTGTGTAGCACCTAATACGTTTTTATTCTGAGACCCACAGTCATTTTGTAAGGTGGCAGATGATGGGACTTTCCTGGGAATTCTGGATGAAAATACAAGATATGGACATTTATCCAATTCCAGATGGTCCTTCTTTTAAGTCTGGGGTCCAGAATAGCCTCCGCTAAAATACACATTTCGTTCATTTTTTGAGGAACTCCACTGCTGACTGTCTTTCAAAAAAAAAAATCAAACATATGCAGCAGTGTGGCATAAATTCTTTTAGAGACTAACCTTACCTCATAGATTGTACTGGGGTTGTCGCAGAATAACTGAAGCAGAATAAATGTACGATCTAAAATTCCTCATTTGTCCAATTCCAAGGATCTTTGCTGTGGAAGTGCTATAACCTTCATAGAAATGCTAGTTTATTGACGTACTCAATGCAACAGCCAGCTTAGTAGCTGTCCAAGCACTGAAAAGACATGTGAAAAAAAGAGTGATAAAAATAATACTTGAAATTCTTTAGAAAAATCAGACTGATTTTTGTGGTGGTTATTATTAATAGGTTAGTACGCTTCCTAAATATTCCTATAAATTATTGCAGT